GTTCATGTGTGTTTACGTGTGTTCATGTGTGTTCATGTGTGGTCTGTGTGTTCATGTGTGTCTGTGTTTTATGTGTGTTTCATGTGTGGTCTATGTGTTCATGTGTTTTCATGTGTGTTCATGTGTGGTCTGTGTGTTTATGTGTGGTCTGTGTGGTCTGTGTGTTTATGTGTGTTCATGTGTGGTCTATGTGTTCATGTGTTTTCATGTGTGGTCTGTGTGTATATGTGTTCATGTGTGTTCATGTGTGTTCATGTGTGGTCTGTGTGTTTATGTGTGTTCATGTGTGGTCTTTGTGTTTATGTGTGTTCATGTGTGGTCTATGTGTTCATGTGTTTTCATGTGTGTTCATGTGTGTTCATGTGTGGTCTGTGTGTTTATGTGTGTTCATGTGTGGTCTGTGTGTTCATGTGTGGTCTGTGTGGTCTTGACGAAGGATGAGTCCTCGCTGTTTTGGGGTGCTCATGAAGTTGATCAATTCATGATCAGCTCGAGTCAATAACCATGCCCACCTTGGATGCTGTAGCTAGGTGACTCTAGCTTGCCTAACGTGTACGCGGTTTTGGATGTATGCATGCCAAAATGTGTGCAACTTTGGCAAGAAGCATTGTTTTTAGCACGTTCTATCGCAATGCAGATTGGCTAGTGCTGCTCATCAGTCACACCAGGCGGAGGATAGGTCAGTTGTCCTTCCTGAACGTACAGTGTGTCTGTTCTTGAGAAATTAAATACTCTGATAACTGTCAAGTTACTTGTCAACGCTGTATATTTTCACGGTCGTTTAATTTCTCTCAAATTTCGGCAAATGCGTTCCGACGCGAATAACCACTCGCGAAATTGCCCGTCGTTCTGAATTCGCCGAAAATATCTGTACACGAAATTATGGCGTATACAGACTTACTTGATGAATCATGGATTGTGGATGATGAGAACTCATGTCGACGGTTTCGTGTGTGTTCGTGGTGGTTGTTGATGACATCGTATTGTTTGACTGCACGCAGGTGAAACACCAGGTGGAGTACCTCGGACTTGAAGGAGAACCTTCTTGTATGTGAGCGCGAGCTGGATTCGCGCTAACGCGCGTCCGTTCATCAAGTTCTTGCAAGAGGTCTGTCGTTGTTGATCTGTTCATTTGGCATGTGCGTGAGGAAGGAGACGTTGGACGCTCACGGTCGCAGAATACCGTGAATCGTGGCGTGCACTGTGTGAGAGTGACCGAGGATGATGTGAGAGATGGTGAGAGATGACGTGAGACGATGAAGAGATTGTGCGCTGAGTCGCGTGCTGTGCTCTGCGTTCTGTGTCGCTTCGGTGCGAGTGTACCTCGTCCGAGAGAGAGGAGAGAGAGAGAGAGAATAGGAGAGAAGTAGACTAGAATGTGGCAGCCTGCGGGCGGGTTACTCGTCCTTATTATGGATGCCCGATCTGCCATAACCTTTCAGTATTACATTATGAAATTTATTAGTTTTATTTGTTGGCTGTACGTGCCATCGTGAGGCGTGCCGTGCTATCCTGTCAGCCTATCTTGTTGTTTTTGGGCCTTAGTCCATTTTTCTGCTGTAATACAGTAGATTTCATTATACTCAGTCAGTGTGTGTCAATATACCATGACTAAGTATTTAACTGCATAGGAAGTCACTGCAGCGTTAGGAAAGTATTATTAGTGTGTTCAAAAAAAAGTCGTTGCAGAGTGCGGTCGTGTCGTTCGCGTTGCGTGTAGAGTGGTAAAAATTTTACATTTTCCTTTACTGTGCGCTCGCTATCTGATGGTTTGATTGTTCTCATTTAACAACAAGGGCATGCATCTTTACATGTCGTTCGTGCCGTGTAAATCTCTGTGCTGTGTGGAGGTATGAGATTGCTCCGTCTGTTAACAAGCTCGCTGTTGCGTGATTCTTCCAAGGTAACGGTCCTTTTTACTTCCGCTGAACCTATGAATTAAGCGTTATAGTCACTATAATGAGGAGCACTCTATTATCTTATAACGATCCAGAGCAATAGCGGGACCTCAAAATAAGCTTTTACGCGTTGTAATTAGTTGCCCTTTGAAGTCTCGTATTGACATAATTTTGCATCTCACGAGCAGTCTAACGAGTATCTCTGCTGCGGGTTCGTGGGGCCACACCTTTGCCGTAAGTTGCTCACAACATGCAAACACGTAGCCGTGTACTTACTACAACGCTGCGTGCACGAATTTGAACTCGGCGTCAGAGTGTGTAGCTGTTCAAATAAAACAAAGAGTGTTGGCATTAACATATCTTTAATAATATCCTTAACTAATCTAATTATTGCAATCAAATGTGTTAATTCACTGCAGCCCGCAAAACGTGATCTGCTGCTGTCTCCCAAGTGCATCTACCTGATTGGCCGCATCATGGTGAAGAAGGGCAAGGAGAAAGGACAGGTTAAGGAGGTCATAAAGCGACAGATAGCTCTCCCCAGTATTCGACAAATATCACTCAGGTAGGTTTGACCAGGTGGATGCGAGTGCAGGATAAAAAAGCTGTTATGTTGTGTACCGACAAGTTGGACAAACGCCAGTTTATCTTGTGAGTAATTTTTCGATGAGAGGTTTTTGCGATGCCTAAATTAAAGATGTATCTCCAAGCTTACATAGAGAGTTAATGTGAGGTATCAGAGTGGAAATCTGATATGAGGTCTTTTTGGTAAAAACATGTAAAGGTCTCACTGGCAAGGATTAAACGTAACACTATACATATTATTGGTAGATAGATATTGGTTCAAAGAAGGGGCGATTTTTATCGATTATGATGCAACATCTGTGTACTAAAACATGAATATCATAATAACAAATTAATATATTATAATAATAATAATAATGATCTATTGATTTTGATCGATTATGATGCAACATCTGTATACTAAAACGTGAATATCACAATAAAATATAAATATTATAGTAATAATGATAATAATAATGATAATCTCTGTCATGCAGCACACAGCAGGACGATTTCTTTGTGATACACGTCAAGGATGAATACGATAGTGTTCTGCAGTCCGTGTTCAAGACGGAATTTCTGACGGTGCTCTCTAAGCGATACCAGGAGAGCACCAGTGGTCCACTCCCACTGCATTTCTCTGACAAGTCAGTATATTTCCGCTGTTGTTTACCGATGCTTTTCATATTGCTCGCTGATGGCTTGAATAGTCATAACTATATATAATGGCCACAAGTGCTGGAAGTGTCCTTTATAGAGAGGTGTCTGTGTGAATGGTTGGATGGTGATGGGTGGTGTATAGGGTGGGTGGTGAAGTGGGTGTTGGATGGCGAGGGTGGGTGGGTGGAATGGGTGGTGCGTTTGGATTGGTGGGTGGTATGATTTGGGGTGGTTGGATGGGGTGGTGTGGTTGGGAGTGGATTGTGGTGTTGGATGAGTGAGATGGGCTGGTTGGACATGAGTAGATGGTTGGAAGTGGGTGGGTGGTTGGATTGTGTGGATGTGTGGAGTGGTGGGTGGTTGGATGAGTAGATGGTCTGGATGAGTGGTTGGGTGGTTGGATGAAGTGGATGGTTGGACGAGTTGGGTGGGTGGGTGGGTGGTTGGTTGGATGAGTGGATGGGCTGGTGGTTGGATGGGTGGGTGTGTCCGCACATGCTATATTATATTATATCAGACAGGAGTCTCCTCTCACAGTCGGACTGGATGTCTCGTGGCCACCTGTACTGAAATTTATGTTGAGACCATTACTCGACTTGACTGTTTACTTGACTATTACTTGATTATTACTTACTTGACTGTTACTGTTGACTTGACCTGGTCTCAACCACATATCGAGACATGAATCAAATGTCTCAGTTTACTTCGTTTAGACTTGTACTCGACTTTATATAGAGACCATAATCAAGTGTCAGTGGGACCACTAATATAACCAGCACCCAAGTATTAGGCCGAGACTAACATATTGTGTCTCATGAAGACCTATCTATAATACCATAGACTTCGCTTAAATTTCGTAAGTGAGACCTCTCATGTGCTCACTGTGCCCTGAGTGCGTGGCCCGCCGCTGAATTCTTCGCATCACAGTGAAATCACGGATACCGCTACAGTACCAATGTTATTCAGTACCTCATTCATGTTCATACGTCATGACCAAGCCTGGTTCGCCAGCCTGGGTCCACCTCCACATCCAATCAAGAGCTAATAATACCTTATGGTATTATTAGCTCTTGATCCAATGTTACTTAATGCCTTGTTGTCTTGTGTTGTAGCTGTTCTTGTTAGAGGAGACGCGAGATCGAAAATACGATGGGTACGCTCGCGCTATTCAGAAAGCTTTCCGGCAGTACATAGGAAGGAAACACATGTTCAAGCTCAAGGAGCAAGGTAGGTGATCGTTTACAGGTGTTTTACAGGTCTTGGAAACCCAGTGCTAACAACTGTCCTGGAAAGTCCTTGAAATTGGATGCATGTCTAGTTTGTCCACATTCTATCTATGATGATAACAAGTGTATTACAAGGTTTGTACAGGTCCTGGAAACCCTGTGTTACTCCGAGAACTTTAAGACGACATTTTCCAGGCCTGGAGAGTCTTGAATAATAGGCTCTAGTTATGTTTGGTCACGGAAAGTCCTTGAAATTGAGCGCATGTCTGTTTTGTCTACATTTGATCTATGATGATAACAAGTTTATTATGCTAAAGAATAATTGATTACACTCAAGTTATAGCCCTGTCTACTGTCTGAGATTGCTTGAGTCAAGAGTTTGTTCACTAACTGATTGAAAGATGCGAGGTACAAAGGTTGTATTCAGCTTAAATCTTAGGGTCCTGGAAATTGGACCTACAAACTCCTGTAAAAGGCCAAGGAAAATGTTTTGCATGTGTGAACCCTGATGTGTTTGTGAGTTTCAGCAGCATCATGAGACGACAGATAAAGTACTGAAGGATCGTCATTACTTCTGCATACCAATACTTCATGCTTTTTTCCTTTTTACACTCATGGCTCTACTCTTGTTACATAGCTATTCGCAAAACTTGCAGTTCCTATATACAAATTGTGGCTTACTTTTGAGCCAAATGCTACTACATCTTAGAATCTTAGAATCTTAGAATTTTGTGGCAGTTGTCTCTTGAGGGATTCGAATTCAAACGATATGTTCTTGGTATTATTCTCTTGTAATATTTTTCAGCTGCTGATTTGATGACGAACAAAAAACATAGGCGGCACCACAGTCTCAATCGCAATTTCGTCGGCGACTACATCGGACTGGAGGACAAGCCTGAACTGCGTGCACTGGTGGGCAAGCGAGAACGCATCGAGTTTTCCGACACGGTCATAAAGTACGACAGAAGGTTCAAGGTGGGTCAAGGTCAAAGGTTTAAGGTGGATGGGTGGTTGGCTTGGATGGCTGAGTAAGTGGATGGGTGGATGGCTGGGTGAGTGGATGGGTGGGTGGGTGAGTGGGTGGATGGGTGGATGGTGATGGGTGGTGTATAGGGTGGGTGGTGAAGTGGGTGTTGGATGGCGAGGGTGGGTGGGTGGAATGGGTGGTGCGTTTGGATTGGTGGGTGGTATGATTTGGGGTGGTTGGATGGGGTGGTGTGGTTGGGAGTGGATTGTGGTGTTGGATGAGTGAGATGGGCTGGTTGGACATGAGTAGATGGTTGGAAGTGGGTGGGTGGTTGGATTGTGTGGATGTGTGGAGTGGTGGGTGGTTGGATGAGTAGATGGTCTGGATGAGTGGTTGGGTGGTTGGATGAAGTGGATGGTTGGACGAGTTGGGTGGGTGGGTGGGTGGTTGGTTGGATGAGTGGATGGGCTGGTGGTTGGATGGGTGGGTGGGTCCGCACATGCTCATCTCACAGCAGTCTAACGAGTATCCTCGCTGCTGTTGGTTCGTGGGACCCACCAAAACTTATGCGCGAAGTTGCTCACGAACATGCAAGACACCACGGTGAGGCCGTCGACATGACCTGTCGCCGCTACATCGGTTACTACAACGCGCGTGCACGAATTTGAACTCGGCCGTCACGAAGTGTGTAGCTGTTCAAATAAAAGCAAAGAAGTGTTGGCCATTAGCAATATCTTTAATATTATCCTACTAATCAATTATTGCGATCAAATGTGTTATTCAACTGCAGCCCGCAAAAGCGGATCTGCTGGCTGTCGTCCCGAGTGCATCTACCTGATTCGCCTGGCGGGGCCGGCAGTCATGGTCGAAGAAGGCAAGGAGAAAGGACAGCCAGTTAAGGAGTATAAAGGGACAGATAGCTCTCCCCCAGTTATTCCGAACACAAATATCACTCAGGGTAGGCTTTGACCAGGTGGAGTGCGAGTGCCAGGATAAAAAAAGCCTGTTATGGTTTGTGTACCGCACAAAGTTGGACAAACGCCAGTTTATCTTGTGACTAATTTTTCGATGAGAGGTTTTTTGCGATGCCTAAATTAAAGAGATGATATCTCGCAAGCTTACATAGAGAGTTAATAGTGAGGATCAGAGTGGAAATCTGAATAATGAGGTCTTTTTGGTAAAACATATAAATTTTCACTGGCAATGATTAAACGTAACACTATACATATTAATTCGGTAGATAGATATTGGTTCAAAGAAAGGGGCGATTTTTATCGATTATGATGCAGACAGTCTGTGTAGCTGAAAACATGAATATCATAATAACAAATTAATATATTATAATAATAATAATAATGATTCATTTGATTTTGATCGATTATGATGGCAACATCTGTATACTAAACGTGAATATCACACAATAAAATATAAATATTACTAGGTAATTAATTATATAATAATGAATAATCTCCTGCTCATGCATGCAGGCACAAGCAGCAGGACGATTTCTTGTGATACACGTCAGGATGAAATACGATAGTGTTCTGGCAGATTCGCGCCTGTTCAAGACGGAATTGTTCTGAACCGTGCTCTCTCAAAGCGATACCAGGAGAGCACCATGGTCCAACTCCCCACTGCATTTCTCTGAACAAGTCAGTAAATATTTCCACGCTGTCGTTTACCGATGCTTTTCATATTGCTCGCGTGATGGCTTGAATAGTCCATAACTGTATATAATGGCCCCCAACAAGTGTTGAAAATGTCCTTTGTAGAGAGGTGTCTGTGTTAAGATAAGGTGGTTTCAACTGTGGTTGAGCGGTCACCAGAGGGAAAGTTCCCAAGCGTGTCTTTATTGACTGGTGTCTCGTTTTGTAAAGGTGACTACTAATGCAGCTTGACATTTTTTGGCTCTGTGCTCCTTAGTATTGTAGGTTGTGTGTAAAGATGAGGATGTAGTGACAAGGGGTGCAATCCTTAAGCGACGGCGCCTCTGAGACGGACCAGCTTAGGTTATACGGAAGTGATGCACAGATTCTTGATACCTGCGCCTCAAACAATTGATCTACAGCAGACTTTCT